CCTGATGCCAGGGGCTTAAGTGGAGAGCAAATATTTTGAGAATGATGAGGGCAATGAATGTACAAATGTGCTTTACACAATTGATGTATGGATGGTGATAAGAGTTGGTGGATGGTGATATGAGCCCCTAATAAAATGATTAAAAATATACAACAGATATTGAAGAAAAAAATGAGGCAAAAAAAAGTTTTTTGAAGCAATTGAAGTACAGATTTTCCAAAATGGCAAAAAAAAAAAAAAAAATCAGGTAGTACTAACAATCACCAAAATGTTCAGTAAAACAGAAAGTGAGACCTAGGCTTAGATATAATTTCTAAAGAACTGTTTACTACTTATTTAAATATTAACATAATAAATTAGCATTTACAATTTTTTAAAAGTAACTGTGGTAGTTACATAATCCCTTTGATGCCTGATGATGCCTCCTTATGGGCATAGCTTTCTCATGAGGATTCTGGGAACTTCCTCTCTCTCACTGCTTCACCTTCCTGTTGAAGAGACACACTTAGAGAACTAGAGGAGCCAGCAATGGGATGCTTCCACCACCACTGGATCCACAAGACTTTCCACCCACTGGCTTGTGATCTTCCTACATTTGGCATCATTGCATGTACTGTGTGTTTGAAGAGGAAATTATGGACCAGTGTCGGACATATGAACTAATATCAGACTTATGGGGCTGGAATGTCTTATCAATATGCAATTGTTCTTTGCTATAAAGCTCCTCCATATATATAGATATAGATATAAATTTGTTTCTCTCGTCTATCCAGAATAATACAATAACTAACAGTCATAATCTCATGGGTTCCACCAGTATCTTTCAGACCAGTAAGCCTGGTCATCTTTTATGATTTTGAGATTTGTTCCACATTTTTCTCCCACTATATCCAGGACCTCCTATTATAATACCTTTCAGAGCAATTGGCAGTCATGGCTGGGTACATTCAGTTCTTCTGGATCTGAGGTCGTGGCCCATTAGTCCTTTGGACTAATTGTTTCCATGTGTCTTTGATTTTCTTCATTAAACTTTATTCCAGACAGGGAAAGACCAATAGCTGCAACTTAGATGGCCACCCACAGGCAGACCACAGTTGCTCATTGTGAATGAGGGTGAGTGCAGAGTGGAGAC